TTAACACAAAACTCGCAAGATATGGTTCTCGTACCTCACTTCCCTACCTGTAGCAGTTAACACAAAACTCGCAAGATATGGTTCTCGTACCTCACTTCCCTACCTGTAGCAGTTAACACAAAACTCAGCATGTAGAGCTATGCTAACACAAAGACTTTAGGCTTCAAAGGTGACTGCAGTAATATCATACACGAGAGAGATTTTACTGGATAGGTATGAGGCAAGATGTGGAAGAATGTGACGGACATACAGTACATGTTGTGCTAAAGGGGGACCCAAGCATAAGGGACGTGCTCCAATGAAGTTATATCAAGTTGGTGCACCAATGGAAAGAGTAGCCATTGACATTGCTGGTCCTTTGCCCCAAACTCGTGCTGGAAACAGGTACATTTGTGTGGTGATGGATTATTTCACCAAGTGGCCTGAAGCATATACAATACCAAATCAGGAAGCTACAACTGTAGCTTCAGCTATTAGTGATTTCCTCTTCAGGTTTGGTATGCCATACAAACTGCATTCAGATCAAGGCCGTAACTTTGAATCAGCTGTATTCCAGGAATGCTGCAAGTTGTTTGGCATACAAAAGACCAGGACAATGTCACTTCACCCACAGTCTGATGGGATGATAGAAAAGTACAACTGGACACTGGGACAGGAATTGGCAAAGTTTTGTAATAGCTGCAAAGATGATTGGGATGTCTTACTCCCTCCACTGTTGATGGCCTATAGGACAGCAGAGCATGAAGCCACTGGATACACTGCAGCAAAGCTGATGTGTGGTCGGGAACTTTGGTTGCCAGTGGACCTGATAACACGACACCCACCTTACGAACAGTTGCCTGAAAATGTGCCAGAGTTCGTAAAAGTGTTATCTGAAAGGATGGATGATATTCATCATCAAGTGCATTCAAACTTAAAAACGTCTGCTAATTCCATGAAGCTATGTTATGATAAGAAATTTACTGAAGTCAGCCTTGTACCAGGAGACAAGATGTGGTTGTATAATCCCAGGAAGACCAAAGGGAAGTCTCCTAAGTTGTCTTCTCCATGAGAAGGCCCATATGACATAGTGAATCATCTCTCTGACATGACTTTCCGAGTAAAATGTGGTTGGCGAGGTAAGTCAAAGGTGGTGCATGCCAACAGGCTTTGGCATTATCATGGTCCAGGACATTTCAGTTGGAACGCAGTGAACAACGAAACAAATGATGCTCCTGAAGACGTGTCACCTGAAAAAGCTACTGTCGAAGAAGAAACTCTACCCGGTTTTGAGAAGGGAAACAGTGAAGCCCTTAATGAAGTTATTACCACTGATGTGACTGTTACTGATAATGGGACATTTCCTGATGGAGTAGATGAACACCACGTGAAGCAGAAGCCAACGAGATGAAGACCAGGACAGAAAAAGATACGTCCTGTAAAATTAAGAAACTTTGTTGAATTTTAATTTTGTGTTTGTAAATTCTGTACATTTAATTAAGTTATTGTTAATTATCTATTGGTTTGATGTAAGTGGCTATTGTTCGGGATGAACAATACTAAGGAAGGGGCAGTGTTATGACAGCGGAAGTCACGTGACGCTGGTAACTCATCATGAGATTCTCGAAGGATCTTGAATAATCCTGGCAACTCTAGTCTGTTCCAGGCACCCTCTTTTTTTAGTATATAAGCCCGACAAATAAGGCAGAAGGGGATAGATAGAGAGATTAAAGATAGCGATAATCAAGTCAAGCCGTAAGTAAAGTGTGTGAATCACTGTGATTTATAGCGTGTGTTCATAAAAGTAGTCAAGTTTAAAGTGACTGTGGAAATTCTGTGTATCGAGAAAGAATAAACTAGTTTTAATTAAGAAAGGACTTGTATCGATGAAGTTTCTTGGAAAAAATTTTTACGGGAAATTAACAAACGAGCTGATACGCAACAATACCCTTTAAATATACATATATTAATTAGTTACTGTAGTGGTTAAGACTAATCATCAGAGTTGAACTTAAAATCGTGTCATCATGGTTAGTCGTCAATACAGTCACTTAAGTCTTATCATTAATTAGTTACTGTAGTGGTTAAGACTAACCATCAGAGTTGAACTTAAAATCCTGTCATCATGGTTAGTCGCCAATACAATCACTTAAGTCTTATTATTAATTAGTACTGTAGTGGTTAAGACTAACCATCAGAGTTGAACTTAAAATCGTGTCATCATGGTTAGTCGCCAATACAATCACTTACGTCTTATTATTAATTAGTTACTGATATGTATTGCTTAATTAGTAAATATTAATTAGTACTGCAGTGGTTAAGACTAATCATCAGAGTTGAACTTAAAATCGTGTCATCATGGTTAGTCGCCAATATAATCACTTAAGTCTTATTATTAATTAGTACTGTAGTGGTTAAGACTAACCATCAGAGTTGAACTTAAAATCGTGTCATCAGGGTTAGTCACCAATACAATCACTTATGTCTTATTATTAATTAGTTACTGATATGTATTGCTTAATTAGTAAATATTAATTAGTACTGTAGTGGTTAAGACTAATCATCAGAGTTGAACTTAAAATCATGTCATCATGGTTAGTCGCCAATACAATCACTTAAGTCTTATTATTAATTAATAACTAGTTTTTATCTTACGTTTTGGCTGCTAATATGCTACAGATAGCACACCAGCCTCTATCAAGGAAATCCAAGATCTAATTCAGCCACCCAGTACCACCACAGAAACAGTCCCTGAAGATGGCAGCAAATTAGTAGTTGATAATTAGTTAGTAATTAGTGTCTAGTAATAAGAAAAAAGGTAACAAATTAATTATTAGACTGAGGTCACTGTATAGGCTACAAATCATGATGGTAATTGATGTCAATCCCCCAGACCCTACCATAAGTATTTGAATTTAAAATAAATTTTCATAAAATGTGACTTACAGTTTAAATCAGTTACACTAATTAATATACCAAGTAATTTGCTAGTCAGTTCTAACAGGCATAGTGTGGATATAATAAAATACTGAGCAATTTAAAACATATTAGCACCCAGAAATGTTTAATGCTTTATCTTTATACCTTATTCAATGACACAAAAACATTTCATGGCACAGCTGACCAATGAGTACCTCTTATGGTGCATCAAATAAGCCTATGCTTGTAATTTCTGTTCATGAGTCTTATTGTAGCCTGAAAATCTATCATATAACAGTTTAGACATGTAGCATAAGTTTCCTGCATTCAAGCTCAATATTCATTCATTTTTACCAAAAAAAATGTTTTCCTTTTCTTGATAAGTCAATCTCCTTACCTTTAAAAGGGTACTGAATTGTTGGAAAGGGTTCAGAAGAGGGCTGTTAGGATACCTGAGATGGAAAGATTGTCATAAAAGGATAGATTAGGATCTCTGAAATTGTTTCCTCTTGAAAAAAGTAGAGTTAGAGGGGATCTGATTGAGGTGTTTAACATTGTAAAGGGAATTGATAGTGTTGATGCATCATCTTTTTTCATACTTAACAGAAAGAATAGTAGGACTAGGGAACACAAATATAGATTTTGGTAGTGTAGGAGCCATCATCAGCCAAGAAAGTTTTATTTTTCTAACAGGGTGGCTGCTCTTAGGATGGGTTTCTTCAGATGTTGTAGATGCAGTTGATTTAAGGAAAGACTCAATAAATAATTGAATGATAAGGGCTGAATTTGAGTGTGTTATTTTATTTTAGAGTTGAGTACAGTGGATTGGATGGCCCAGATGGACCAATATGCTTATAAATCATATTATATTAGAATAATCTGCTTCCATGAACAAGTTGTATATGTATATTATTATTAAAAGATAATAGGTTATGGACCAGAAAATTTTAACTTGTAATTAACATTTATTAATAATATGGACAAATAACATTTTGTTTTTATATTTTTATATTTCCTTTTAGACTTTAGTGTCCATTATAAACCAGAAGGTGGGCAGTGGAAGCAACATCGTCTCGATGGAAAAGAAAGACAATTCACTCTCCAAGGTCTCCGGTGTGGGACTAGTTACAGACTGTACTTGGTTGCTTTTACTAGAGAAACTCAGAAACGTAGTGAACAGGTCTTATTTAGGACAGAAGGATCAGGTGAATCCTTGAAATGATGTTTGAAAATATTTTAACTGTACATCCATATGTATGGATTAAGAACATACTACATGAATAATGGCTGGAGACGGCTTGAATAGGTAATGAAGAAAAAACTTTAATATAAGTTTTTCTTCATTACCCATTCAAGCCATCTCCAGCCATTATTAGTCTCAAAGTGGGTTCCTCGTCATCGAATTTGAATACTACATGAATGATGTATACAGTATCACTCTGATGTTTAATCTGATACAATTTGGTTTCAGTACTCTTGAAAGCATTACGTTAACACTATTTGGGCTAATTATACATTTGAAATTAAAGTTCCTATTTGCTGGGAGGTCATCCTACTTTATAATGTGCATTGTGTTTCAGGATTTTCTGCCTAGAGTAATATAACTAACTAGTTTACTAATAATGTTGTTTTCATTAAGAGAAACATGGACATGTAAAAGATGCTGTTTGGGTAACTCATTTGGATAGATGAATCACAGACCTGATGGAAACATTTTGAATAAACTGAAATTTGTTCTCTTATTTTAGCTCCTCCCACACCTATTAAAGAAGAGCTGCTTAGTGCTAATGCTACCCACATACTCATACACTTATCTGCTTGGGAAAAACGACAAAGTTGTCCTGTGACAAGAATGGTCATTGAGTATCGTCTCCAAAGTCAAGACCAGTGGATAACTTTCTTGGACAAGATGACTCCAATTCACCGAAACCATGTGGTTATTCCCGATCTTAACTCCGAGACCTGGTATGTTGTCCGAATATCTGCTCATAGCGACGTGGGCTCTGTGAGAGCAAAGTATGATATCAAAACCCGGAGGCAATTTATTGGTAAGATTTTTATATCAAGAAAATATCAAAGTTATAAAAAATTACAAAATCATAGCTGAAATTATATTCTCAGCATACAGGCCAAAGTCACTAAAGTTGGCTTAAATACAAATATTGTTGTGAAATTTCATCTGTCAGCTAGCAGTATATATGTAGACAGGTTTTAAAAACAAATGTTATTCTCAATCCATCCAGATCAGTATCTTTAGGTAAAAGTATTACAGGCTATTTATTATCTTGGGTATTGTTTCCATCCAAGCGGCATCTTACTTAAATATGTATACACACACGTAAAACTGCATGTTATGACAAGAACTTTATCATTAACAAGAGTTATGTTGAAATAAATATTCATTATTCATACAGATTTTAAAAATACACTGGATACTATCTATTTATTACTTAATTGAAGTTTATGTGTATGTCACAATTATATGTACATAAATCCATTTTAAATAACTATTTTGCCCTTCAATAATGTATGGTAGGCATACTGTAATTTGAATGCTTCAGTTTAAGCACTGTATCAAACTGGCTAGAACAATACAAGTGGGGAGAAACAGCAGTGTTTTGAAGAATATTTAGCGGCCCCAGCATAGATGAAAATATGAAGGATTTGTCCTGGCCAGAATTTAATTTCATAGTATGGCATTTACCTGGTTGGCAAGTGCCATGACATTTTACACTATACTTTTATTCACACTATACTGAGAAACGGGGCCACTGGCCATTCAGAATATCTGAATACGTTATGATTGTGTTAAGGATACTGGTTTGACAGTTAACCTGCGAATAGATATTGAGGCTTATAGAATTAATGTTTTTTTGTAGTCTAAGAGGGGTTTGTTTGCACCCTTCAAACACCCTCAATCAACACCGCTGGTTAAAGCAAAATGTCTCATATTTACTTAGCAATCATACAGTTAAATGTATATTGCTTCTGATGTTTGAACGTGGACAATCTCTCCAGACAACACCAGGATATGTAACTCAATCTTAGTAAACAATTTGATAAATATACAGTTTTCATTTATATAAACACA